GTGGTGGTGATGGTGGTGATGGTGGTGGTGGTGATGGTGGTGGTGGTCATGGTGATGGTGGTGGTGATGGTGGTGGTGGTGATGGTGGTGGTGATGGTGGTGGTGGTGATGGTGGTGGTGGTGATGGTGGTGATGGTGGTGATGGTGGTGGTGGTGGTGGTGATGGTGGTGGTGGTGATGGTGGTGGTGGTGGTGGTGATGGTGGTGATGGTGGTGGTGGTGATGGTGGTGGTGGTGGTGATGGTGGTGATGGTGGTGGTGGTGATGGTGGTGGTGGCGATGGTGGTGGTGGTGATGGTGGTGGTGGTGATGGTGGTGGTGGTGGTGATGGTGGTGGTGGTGATGGTGGTGGTGATGGTGGTGGTGGTGATGGTGGTGGTGGTGATGGTGGTGGTGGTGGTGGTGATGGTGGTGGTGGTGATGGTGGTGGTGGTGATGGTGGTGGTGGTGGTGATGGTGGTGGTGGTGGTGGTGATGGTGGTGGTGATGGTGGTGGTGGTGATGGTGGTGATGGTGGTGGTGGTGATGGTGGTGGTGGTGCTGATGGTGGTAGTGGTGATGGTGGTGGTGGTGATGGTGGTGGTGGTAATGGTGGTGGTGGTGGTGATGGTGGTGGTGGTGATGGTGGTGGTGGTGATGGTGGTGGTGGTGATGGTGGTGGTGGTGATGGTGGTGGTGATGGTGGTGATGGTGATGTTCGTGGTGGTGGTGGTGGTGGTTGTGGTGATGGTGGTGGTGATGTTGTTGGTGGTGATGGTGGTGATGGTGGTGGTATGGTGGTGATGGTGGTGGTATGGTGGTGATGGTGGTGGTATGGTGGTGATGGTGGTGGTATGGTGGTGATGGTGGTGGTGATGGTGGTGATGGTGGTGTGGTGGTGTGGTGGTGATGTGGTGGTGATGATGGTGATGTGGTGTGGTGGTGATGGTGGTAGTGGTGATGATGGTGATGGTGGTGGTAGTGGTAGTGGTGATGGTGGTGTGGTGGTGATGGTGGTGTGGTGGTGGTGGTGATGGTGGTGATGGTGATGATGGTGGTGATGGTGGTGTGGTGGTGATGGTGGTGTGGTGGTGATGTGGTGGTGATGATGGTGATGTGGTGTGGTGGTGATGGTTGTGGTGGTGATGATGGTGGTGATGATGGTGGTGGTGGTGTTATGGTGGTGGTGGTGGTGATGGTGGTGGTGATGGTGGTGATGGTGGTGGTGATGGTGGTGGTGGTGATGATGCTGGTGGTGGTGATGGTGGTGATGGTGGTGGTGATGGTGGTGGTGGTGGTGATGGTGGTGGTGGTGATGGTGGTGGTGGTGATGGTGGTGATAGTGATGGTGACAGTGATGGTGGTGGTGGTGGTGATGGTGATGGTGGTGGTGGTGATGGTGGTGGTGGTGGTGATGGTGGTGATGGTGGTGATGGTGGTGGTGACAGTGATGGTGGTGGTGGTGATGGTGGTGGTGATGGTGATGGTGGTGGTGATGGTGGTGGTGGTGTGGTGGTGATGGTGGTGGTGGTGATGGTGGTGATGGTGGTGATGGTGGTGGTGATGATGGTGGTGGTGGTGATGGTGGTGATGGTGGTGGTGATGGTGGTGGTGGTGGTAGTGGTGGTGGTGATGGTGGTGGTGATGGTGGTGGTGATGGTGGTGGTGGTGGTGATGGTGGTGGTGATGGTGGTGGTGATGGTGGTGGTGGTGGTGGTGATGGTGATGGTGGTGATGGTGGTGATGGTGGTGGTGGTGGTGATGGTGGTGATGGTGGTGGTGGTGATGGTGGTGATGGTGGTGGTGGTGGTGATGGTGATGATGGTGGTGGTGATGGTGGTGATGATGGTGGTGGTGATGGTGATGATGGTGGTGATGATGGTGGTGGTGATGGTGGTGATGATGGTGGTGGTGGTGCTGGTGGTGATGGTGGTGATGGTGATGGTGGTGGTGGTGATGATGGTGGTGGTACTGATGGTGGTGATGGTGGTGGTGGTGATGGTGGTGATGGTGGTGATGGTGGTGGTGGTGATGATGGTGGTGGTGATGGTGGTGATGGTGGTGGTGGTGATGGTGGTGATGGTGGTGGTGATGGTGATGATGGTGGTGATGATGGTGGTGATGGTGATGGTGGTGATGGTGGTGATGGTGGTGGTGGTAATGGTGGTGATGGTGGTGGTGATGGTGATGATGGTGGTGATGATGGTGGTGATGGTGATGGTGGCGATGGTGATTGCGATTGTGGTGGTGGTGATGGTGATAGTGATAATGGTGGTGATGATGATAGTTATGGTGGTGATGGTGGTGGTGATGGTGGTGGTGATGGTGGTAGTGATGGTGATAGCGATGGTGGTGATGGTGGTGGTGATGGTGATGGTGGTGATGGTGATAGCGATGGTGGTGGTGATGGTGATGATGATAGTGGTGGTGGTGATGGTGGTGATGGTGGTGATGGTGATGATGGTGGTGGTGATGGTGGTGATGATGGTGGTGGTGGTGGTCGTGGTGATGGTGATGATGGTGGTGGTGATGGTGGTGATGATGGTGGTGGTGATGGTGATGATGGTGGTGGTGATGGTGGTGATGATGGTGATGGTGGTGATGGTGGTGATGGTGGTGGTCGTGATGATGGTGGTGGTGGTGATGGTGGTGATGGTGGTGATGGTGGTGATGGTGATGGTGGTGATGATGGTGGTGGTGGTGATAGTGGTGATGGTGGTGGTGATGGTGGTGATGGTGGTGGTGATGGTGATGATGGTGGTGGTGATGGTGGTGATGATGGTGGTGGTGATGATGGTGGTGATGGTGATGATGGTGGTGGTGGTGGTGGTGATGATGGTGGTGGTGGTGATGGTGGTGATGGTGGTGGTGGTGATGGTGGTGATGGTGGTGATGGTGCTGGTGGTGATGATGGTGGTGGTGATGGTGGTGATGGTGGTGGTGGTGATGGTGGTGATGGTGGTGGTGATGGTGATGATGGTGGTGATGATGGTGGTGATGGTGGTGATGGTGGTGATGGTGGTGATGGTGGTGGTGATGGTGATGATGGTGGTGATGATGGTGGTGATGGTGATGGTGGTGATGGTGATAGCGATGGTGGTGGTGGTGATGGTGATAGTGATAATGGTGGTGATGATGATAGTTATGGTGGTGATGGTGGTGGTGATGGTGGTGGTGATGGTGGTAGTGATTGTGATAGCGATGGTGGTGATGGTGGTGATGGTGGTGATGGTGATAGCGATGGTGGTGGTGATGGTGATGATAGTGGTGGTGGTGATGGTGGTGATGGTGGTGGTCATGGTGATGATGGTGATAGCGATGGTGGTGATGATGGTGGTGATGATGATAGTGATGGTGGTGATGGTGGTGGTAATGGTGGTGATGGTGATAGTGATGGTGTTGATGGTGGTGGTGGTGATGGTGGTTGTGGTGATGGTGGTGATGGTGATAGCGATGGTGGTGGTGGTGATGGTGATAATGGTGGTGATGATGAAAGTGATGGTGGTGATGGTGGTGATGGTGATAGTGATGGTGGTGATGACCAGCACCCACGCCCGGCCGCCTTTGTCTCCCCCCATTGGCGATGTTCCCTACACGCAGCTACACCAGCTGCTCGTTCGAGTCGGCGTCGACCCAGGTGAGGTCCGGGAACTGACCTCACCATGGCACGTGACCCGCGTTTGCGGGAATCGAACTCGGGTCACGTGCCAGGGGCACTCACCCCTGTCGTCTTGAACTTCTGCCAAACGTAGACGTCCCGGGATCCCTTCTCGTAGCGGTAGGTTGGGGGGAAGGTGATGTCCTCCTCGTCTGAGAGAGAGAGAGAGAGAGGGAGAGACGTGTGGTCGCGGGGTCACGGAGATGTGGGGTCACGGGGTCGCGGGGTCACGGAGATGTGGGGTCACGGGGATATTGGGACACGGGGTCATGGGGACATGGGGTTAAGGGGTCACGGAGACATTGGGGCATGGGAACACGGGGTCACAGGGTCACGGGGACAAGGGGTCATGGAGATATGGCGTCACGGGGTCACAGAGACAATGGGACACGGGGCCACGTGGACAGATGGAGATATGGGGTCACGGGGTCACGGAGTCACGGGGTCACGGAGACACGGGGACATGGCGTGACGGGGACAGGGAGACACAGGGATCGAGAGTGAGTGAGTGGCTGTGCGGGTGAGCGAGTGGCTGAGCAAATGGCGGAACGGCTGAGCGAGCAGCTGAGTGGCTGAGCGGGTGAGTGAGCGGCTGAGTGGGTGAGCGAGCGGCTGAGTGGGTGAGCGAGTGGCTGAGCGGGTGAGCGAGCGGCTGAGTGGCTGAGTGGGTGGCTGAGCGGGTGAGCGGGTGGCTGAGTGGGTGAGCGAGCGGTTGAGTGGATGAGCGAGCGGCTGAGTGGGTGAGCGAGTGGCTGGGTGCGTGAGCGAGTGGCTGAGTGGGTGAGCGAGTGGCTGAGTGGGTGAGCGAGTGGCTGAGTGTCTGAGCGGGTGAGCGAGTGGCTGAGTGGGTGAGCGAGTGGCTGAGCGGGTGAGTGGGTGAGCGAGTGGCTGGGTGGGTGAGCGAGTGGCTGAGTGGGTGAGCGAGTGGCTGAGTGTCTGCGCGGGTGAGCGAGTGGCTGAGTGGGTGAGCGAGTGGCTGGGCGGGTGAGCGAGTGGCTGAGTGGGTGAGCGAGTGGCTGAGTGTCTGAGCGGGTGAGCGAGTAGCTGAGTGGGTGAGCGAGTGGCTGAGCGGGTGAGTGGGTGAGCGAGTGGCTGGGTGGGTGAGCGAGTGGCCGAGTGGGTGAGCGAGTGGCTGAGTGTCTGAGCGGGTGAGCGAGTGGCTGGGCGGGTGAGCGAGTGGCTGGGCGGGTGAGCGAGTGGCTGAGCGGGATGAGTAACTCACTGAATTTGTTGAAGATGTGTGTGGACTCGCGCTCCTTGTTCAGCTGGTCCATGGTGAGGATGGAGTCGAACTCTCGCCTACGTAGGTGGTTCATGATGTCCTGAGGGGAGCCGGTGAGCAGCAGCATCAACACCGATTCCCTCCCTCCCTCATTCCCTCTCTCCCTCCCTCCCTCCCTCCCTCCCCCCTCCCTCCCTCCCTCCCTCCCTCCCCCCCTCCCTCCCTCCCTCCCTCCCTCCCCCCTCCCTCCCTCCCTCCCTCCCTCCCCCCCTCCCTCCCTCTCCCCCTCACTCCCTCCCTCCCTCCCCCCTCCCTCCCTCCCTCCCTCCCTCCCTCCCTCCCCTCCCTCCCTCCCTCCCTCCATCCCCTCCCTCCCTCCCATTCTCCCCCCCTCCTTCCCTCCCTCCCCCCCTCCCTCCCTCCCTCCTCCCCTCCCTCCCTCCCTCCCTCCCTCCCTCCCCCCCTCCCTCCCTCCCTCCCTCCCTCCCTCCCCCCTCCCTCCCTCCCTCCCTCCCTCCCTCCCCCCCTCCCTCCCTCTCCCCCTCACTCCCTCCCTCCCTCCCCTCCCCTCCCTCCCTCCCTCCCTCCCTCCCTCCCCCCCCTCCCCCCCTCCTTCCCCCCTCCCTCCCTCCCTCCCCTCCCTCCCTCCCTCCCTCCCTCCCTCCCCCCCTCCCCCCTCCCTCCCCCCTCCCTCCCCTCTCTCCCCTCCCTTCCATTCTCCCCCCCTCCCTCCCTCCCCCCCCTTCCTCCCTCCTTCCCCCCTCCCTCCCTCCCTCCCCTCCCTCCCTCCCTCCCTCCCCCCCTCCCCCCTCCCTCCCCCCTCCCTCCCCTCTCTCCCCTCCCTTCCATTCTCCCCCCCTCCCTCCCTCCCCCCCCCTTCCTCCCTCCCCCCCCTCCCTCCCTCCCCTCCCTCCCCTCTCTCCCCTCCCTTCCATTCTCCCCCCCCCCTCCCCTCCTCCCTCCCCCCCTCCCTCCCCTCCTCCCCCTCTCTCCCCTCCCTCCCATTCTCTCCCCCCCCCCGCTCACTCCTTCTCAGTCTCCCACTCTCCCTACCCCTCCCCCACGTCACTCACCGCGCGCCCCACGTCACTCACCGCGTACCCCACGTGACTCAGCGCGTGCACCACGTGACTCACCGCGTACTCCATGTCGGTACGGTAGTTGAGGTCTCCGAACCAGAAGAGGTGGGAGAAGCGGCAGGTGAGGTCAAAGGTCGCCAGCTGTTTCTCACCCAGCGAGAGCTGCCGGATAATGTCGAAGTAGTTCTGATTGCGCCTGGGTGGTGGAGGGTTGGTGGGTCGGCGGGGGACGAGGAGGACATTGACATCCACTCACTCATACACTCACTCACTCGTACACTCACTCATACACTCATACACTCACTCACTCACTCATACACTCACTCATACACTCACTCATACACTCACTCATACACTCATACACTCACTCATACACTCACTCACTCACTCATACACTCACTCATACACACTCACTCACTCATACACTCACTCACTCATACACTCACTCACTCATACACTCATACACTCACTCACTCATACACTCACTCATACACTCACTCACACATACACTCACTCATACACTCACTCATACACTCACTCATACATACACTCACTCATACATACACTCACTCACACATACACTCACTCATACACACTCACTCACTCATACATACACTCACTCATACACTCACTCACTCATACACTCACTCACTCATACACTCACTCACTCATACACTCACTCACTCACTCATACACTCACTCATATACTCATACACTCACTCAAACACTCACTCATACACTCACTCACTCATACACTCACTCACTCATACACTCACTCATACACTCACTCATACACTCACTCACTCACTCATACACTCACTCATACACTCACTCATACACTCACTCACACACTCACTCATACACTCACTCATACACTCACTCACTCATACACTCACTCATACACTCACCCACCCACCCACTCACCCACCCACTCACCCGCCCACTCACCCACCCACCCACTCACCCGCCCACTCACCCACCCACCCACTCACCCGCCCACTCACCCACTCACCCGCCCACTCACCCACCCACCCACTCACCCACCCACTCACCCGCCCACCCACTCACCCACCCACTCACCCACCCACTCACCCACCCACCCGCCCACTCGCCCACTCACCCACCCATCCCGACGCTCACCCCCCTCACCGCTCACCTGGCCACCTTTTCACATCCCGAGGTGAGGTGACAGTTGACGAAGCCGAAAGAGGTTCCATTGAACATGAACGAGACACCCACGGCGCCCTTGTTACCTACACGGGGGGGGGGGGGGGCACGTGGGGGGGGGCACGTGGGGGGGGGGGGGACACGTGGGGAGGGGGGACACGTGGGGGGGGGACACGTGGGTGGAGGGGGGTACACGTGGACACACACACAGGGTCACGCGCAGTTGTACGCACGAGTGAGTGGATGAGCGTGCGTGTGTGTGAGTGTGTGTGTGAGTGTGTGTGAGTGTGTGAGTGTGTGTGAGTGTGTGTGTGAGTGTGTGTGAGTGTGTGTGTGTGAGTGTGTGAGTGTGTGTGAGTGTGTGTGTGAGTGTGAGTGTGCGTGTGTGTGTGTGAGTGTGTGTGTGAGTGTGTGTGTGTGAGTGTGTGAGTGTGTGTGTGTGAGTGTGTGTGAGTGTGTGTGAGTGTGTGTGTGAGTGTGTGTGTGAGTGTGTGTGAGTGTGTGTGTGAGTGTGTGTGTGAGTGTGTGTGTGAGTGTGTGTGAGTGTGTGTGGGCATGTGTGTGTGGGCATGCGTGTGTGTGTGGGCATGCGTGTGTGTGTGTGAGTGTGTGAGTGTGAGTGAGTGTGTGTGTGTGAGTGTGTGTGTGTGAGTGCGTGTGTGTGAGTGTGTGTGTGTGAGTGTGTGTGTGTGAGTGTGTGAGTGTGTGTGTGTGAGTGTGTGTGTGTGTGAGTGTGTGTGAGTGTGTGTGTGAGTGAGTGTGTGTGTGAGTGTGTGTGTGTGAGTGTGTGAGTGTGTGTGTGTGAGTGTGTGAGTGTGTGAGTGAGTGTGAGTGTGTGTGAGTGCGTGTGTGTGTGCGTGTGTGTGAGTGCGTGTGTGTGTGCGTGTGTGTGTGTGTGTGAGTGTGTGAGTGTGTGTGAGTGTGTGTGTGTGTGAGTGTGTGTGTGTGAGTGCGTGTGTGTGAGTGTGTGTGTGAGCGTGCGTGAGTGTGTGTGTGTGTGAGCGTGTGAGAGTGTGTGCGTGAGCGTGCGTGTGTGTAAGTGCGTGAGTGCGAGCGTGCGTGAGTGAGCGTGTGTGTGAGCGTGCGTGCATGTGTGTAAGTGCGTGTGAACATGTGAGAGTGCGTGTGTGTGAGCGTGCGTGTGAGCGTGCGAGTGGGTGAGCGTGCGTGTGAGCGTGCGAGTGGGTGAGCGTGCATGTGTGTAAGTGTGCGTGTGTGTGAGAGAGCGTGTAACCGCGTGAGCGTGTGTGCGTGTGAGCGTGCGTGTGTGTAAGTGTGTGTGAGCGTGCGAGTGTGTGAGCGTGCATGTGTGTGAGTGAGCGTGTGTGTGAGTGAGCGTGCGTGTGAGCGTGCGTGTGTGTAAGTGCGTGTGAGAGCGAGTGAGCGTGCGTGTGTGTAAGCGTGAGCGAGCGTGCGAGTGTGTGAGCACGTGTGAGCGTGTAAGCGTGTGTGTGTGTGAGCATGCGTGTGAGCGCGTGCGTGTGTGTAAACGTGAGCGTGCGTGTGTGGGCGTGCTTGTGTGTAAGCGCGTGCGAGCGTGCGTGTGTGTAAGCGTGAGTGAGTGAGCGTGCGAGCGTGTGTGTAAACGTGAGCGAGCGTGCGAGTGTGTAAGCGTGAGTGAGCGTGCGAGCGAGCGTGCGCGTGTGTAAGTGCGTGTGAGAGCGTGTGAGCGTGCGCGTGTGTAAGCGTGAGTGAGCGAGCGTGCGAGCGTGCGTGTGTGTAAACGTGAGCGAGCGTGTAAGCGTTCTTGTGTGTAAGCGCGTGCGAGCGTGCGTGTAAGCGTGAGCGAGCGTGTGAGCGTGAGTGAGCGTGAGCGAGCGTGCGAGTGTGTAAGCGTGAGTGAGTGAGCGTGCGAGCGAGCGTGCGAGTGTGTAAGCGCGCGAGCGAGCGAGCGAGTGTGTAAGTGTAAGCGCGCGTGTAAGCACGTGCGAGCCAGCGCCCGACCGAGCGCGTTGGCGATGCCCGTCTTCACGCTTGAGGAGGAGACGTGGCTGACGCGGTGTTCATGCTCCGCCTTGACGAACACGGCCAGCTTGATGCTCCACAGGCTGTGCACCGCCACCTGCAGCGCACGGGACGCGCGACGCAAAGACAAAGGCAAAGGTCCCCCGGGCGGGCGCTCTCACAGACTTGCCGTGGCAAGTGCCGCCAGCGAGCAGCACCTAAGAAGGTCGGCAGGGTGGATGGATTCCTCCGGTTACAACCGCGGGCGGCTTTCCCGAACCACGCGGTAGATAATACGGGTTTTTTTTTTTGACATTATGAAACCTCCTTTGCCAGTAACAAGATATAGTAAATAGATTTTTCACCCTTTTAACCGGCACAAAAAAACTGACGCCTTTATTCAAGGCATCATGTCTGCAATAACCACAACACAAGCAGTCAAAATTCAAACAAAAAGAGACAACTCTGATAATAATATTGGCACTGTCCTTGAATTTGATTGGTCCACACCCGAGACGGCTTTTCTTAGAGCCATTAATCTCCATTGGTGTTGGACCAGAAGACGCCAAAAGGCGTACAGCTCAAAAAACAGCGCACTATCAGAGTATTGAGGGCTCGGGGTGAGCATTTACATTATGAGACCTCCTTTGCCAGTAACAAGATATCGTAAATAGATTTTACCCCTTTTAACCGGCACAAAAAAACTGACACCTTTATTCAAGGCATCATGTCTGCAATAACCACAACACAAGCAGTCAAAATGCAAACAAAAAGAGACAACTCTGATAATGATATTGGCACTGTCCTTGAATTTGATTGGTCCAACACCAGTGGAGACTAAGGGCTCTAAGAAAAGCCGTCTCGGGTGTGGACCAATCAAATTCAAGGACAGTGCCAATATTATTATCAGAGTTGTCTCTTTTTGTTTGGATTTTGACTGCTTGTGTTGTGGTTATTGCAGACATGATGCCTTGAATAAAGGTGTCAGTTTTTGTGCCAGTTAAAAGGGGTAAAATCTATTTACTATATCTTGTTACTGGCAAATGAGGTCTCATAATGTAAATGCTCACCCCGAGCCCTCAATACTCTGATAGTGCGCTGTTTTCGAGTTGTACGCCTCTTGGCGTCTTCTGGTCCAACACCAGTGGAGACTAGGCTCTAAGAAAAGCCGTCTCGGGTGTGGACCAATCAAATTCAAGGACAGTGCCAATATCAATATCAGAGTTGTCTCTTTTGTTTGCATTTTCACTGCTTGTGTTGTGGTTATTGCAGACATGATGCCTTGAATAAAGGTGTCAGTTTTTGTGCCAGTTAAAAGGGTAAAACCTATTCCTATAGCTTGTTACTGGCAAAGGAGGTCTCATAATGTAAATGCTCACCCCGAGCCCTCAATACTCTGATAGTGCGCTGTTTTTTGAGTTGTACGCCTATTGGCGTCTTCTGGTCCAACACCAATGGAGACTTAAGGGCTCTAAGAAAAGCCGTCTCGGGTGTGGACCAATCAAATTCAAGGACAGTGCCAATATCATTATCATCAGAGTTGTCTCTTTTTGTTTGCATTTTGACTCTTGTGTTGCGATTTATTGCAGACATGATGCCTTGAATAAAGGTGTCAGTTTTTTTTTGTGCCGGTTAAAAGGGGTAAAAAAAACCTATTACTAATACGGTTTTATTCTTTTGGGTTAGCTCGCCGTGCCTGGGCGAAAAAAACTTCCGGTACAGCGGGGTCGCAATGGGAGGAAGATCGATTGCCGAACCTGGAGCGTGCCGACTCAGGCGTGCGACTAGGGGTCCCTCAACCGAGAAGATGGTTTCAAATTAAGCAACCGTTGGAAAGATACGCTTAGCTCTTTCGTTAAAGTCACGTTGAAGGGAAACAATAAAAATATAATAATAAAAAAATATATAAAACAATAAAGATTCTCCCGACGTTTCGCGACCATAACACAAACGGTTGTCATCAGGTGTGTCGGTTTGGCATACATTTATTTATTTTTAAACGGTGTATTTATTATGGCGTATTTATTATGACGACCGTTTGTGTTATGGTCGAAACGTCGTGAGAATTTTTATTGTTTTATATATATATTTTATTATTTTATTGTTTCCCTTCAACGTGACTTTACCGAAAGAGCTAAGAGTATGAGTTGCTGCAGTCACGAAAGCTTTAGATCAAAACATTGGAAAGATGTTCTAAATCGAACCACACATTAAACTTATTTTCATTGGTACAGTATATATTTTTTTTCAAGTAATGCTACCCCAAACTTTCGCAGCACAGGCTGGTGCACTGCCGATGCCGATCATTGAGCTACACCTTTCATCATGCTAAGTCCGCCAATCAAATGCTAACTTTTTGTTACGCTAATTCCTTTGTCAAGGCACCTTAATCCCTCTCACACGGCTTTAAAGGTCGCGGTCTGAGCTTGGCTCTGTTTCACTCCAGCGCTGTCCTCGAGACAGTCCGGTCCCTTCGCCTGATCAAGGCCGCTTGTGTTGTGGCCGAAACGTCGTGATTGTTGCTGCTAATTTTTTGTTACGCTAATTCCTTTGTCAAGGCACCTTAATCCCTCTCACACGGCTTTAAAGGTCGCGGTCTGAGCTTGGCTCTGTTTCACTCCAGCGCTGTCCTCGAGACAGTCCGGTCCCTTCACCTGATCAAGGCCGCTTGTGTTGTGGCCGAAACGTCGTGATTTTTGCTGCTAATTTTTTGTTACGCTAATTCCTTTGTCAAGGCACCTTAATCCCTCTCACACGGCTTTAAAGGTCGCGGTCTGAGCTTGGCTCTGTTTCACTCCAACGCTGTCCTCGAGACAGTCCGGTCCCTTCACCTGATGAAGGCCGCTTGTGTTGTGGCCGAAACGTCGTGATTGTTGCTGCTAATTTTTTGTTACGCTAATTCCTTTGTCAAGGCACCCTAATCCCACTCACACGGCTTTAAAGGTCGCGGTCTGAGCTTGGCTCTGTTTCACTCCAGCGCTGTCCTCGAGACAGTCCGGTCCCTTCGCCTGATGAAGGCCGCTTGTGTTGCGGCCGAAACGTCGTGAGGATTTTTGTCGTTTTATTTTTTTGTTTAACCTACGCGACTTTACCGAATAGAACCAACGAGTGCCGCGTTAGCTCGTGAAGCCTTCGACGGCTGCGCCCAAAGAACCTCCACCCAGATTTGAAGCTTTCCGTGACCGCAAGAATCCATGCTCTCTTTGATTCTATTCGGTAGAGTCACGTAAAAGTATGAAGCAACAACAACAACAAGAAAAAAAAAACGTGAATGTGTTTTAATCAATTTATTTATTCACTTATATATTGTTGTTGTTGTTGTTGTTTTATACGTGCACGAGACTTCACCGACTACAACGGGGTGTACCGGTAATCCTGCGTTTGCGGGCCGCTGCCTTGCTGAACCTGAATCGTGCTCACTCAGAGGCGTGCTGGGGGCCTTAACCCAACCGGCAAACACCGAAAACTAGGCGCATGCCCTAGGTGCTTTATTTTTTCGCGTGTGTGTGTGTGTGTGCTGCTACTGAACCTGAATCGTGCTCACTCAGAGGTGTGCTGGGGGCCTTAACTCAACCGGCAAACACCGAAAACTAGGCGCATGCCCTAGGTGCTTTATTTTTTCGTGTGTGTGTGTGTGTGCTGCTACTGAACCTGAATCGTGCTCACTCAGAGGCGTGCTGGGGGCCTTAACTCAACCGGCAAACACCGAAAACTAGGCGCATGCCCTAGGTGCTTTATTTTTTCGTGTGTGTGTGTGTGTGTGTGCTGCTGCTGAACCTGAATCGTGCTCACTCAGAGGTGTGCTGGGGGCCTTAACTCAACCGGCAAACACCGAAAACTAGGCGCATGCCCTAGGTGCTTTATTTTTTCGTGTGTGTGTGTGTGCTGAACCTGAATCGTGCTCACTCAGAGGCGTGGTGAGGGCCTTAACCCAACCGGCAAACACCGAAAACTAGGCGCATGCCCTAGGTGCTTTATTTTTTCGTGTGTGTGTGCTGCTACTGAACCTGAATCGTGCTCACTCAGAGGTGTGCTGGGGGCCTTAACCCAACCGGCAAACACCGAAAACTAGGCGCATGCCCTAGGTGCTTTATTTTTTCGTGTGTGTGTGCTGCTACTGAACCTGAATCGTGCTCACTCAGAGGCGTGGTGAGGGCCTTAACCCAACCGGCAAACACCGAAAACTAGGCGCATGCCCTAGGTGCTTTATTTTTTCGTGTGTGTGTGCTGCTACTGAACCTGAATCGTGCTCACTCAGAGGCGTGGTGAGGGCCTTAACCCAACCGGCAAACACCGAAAACTAGGCGCATGCACTAGGTGCTTTATTTTTTCGCGTGTGTGTGTGTGTGTGCTGCTACTGAACCTGAATCGTGCTCACTCAGAGGTGTGCTGGGGGCCTTAACTCAACCGGCAAACACCGAAAACTAGGCGCATGCCCTAGGTGCTTTATTTTTTCGTGTGTGTGTGTGTGTGCTGCTGCTGAACCCGGAGCGAGGTTCGATTGCGTAAAAAGTATTTTTTTTTTTAAGCGACCTAACCTCGTAACAAAACCTTCCCCCTTCCCCCCCCTGTAAATACGAATGACACTGGCGGCGTGCGGGACGAGGTGGGGTGTGTGGGGTGTGTGGGGTGTGTGGATGTGTGGGGGGTGTGTGGGGGTGTGTGGGTGTGTGTGTGTGGGGTGTGTGTGGTGTGTGTGGGGGTGTGTGGGTGTGTGTGTGTGGGGTGTGTGGGTGTGTGGGGGTGTGTGGGTGTGGGGGGGTGTGTGAGTGTGTGGGTGTGTGGGTGTGTGGGGGTGTGTGGGTGTGTGGGTGTGTGGGTGTGTGTGTGTGTGTGGGTGTGTGAGGGTGTCTGAGTGTGTGGGTGTGTGTGTGTGTGTGTGTGGGTGTGTGTGTGTGTGTGGGTGTGTGGGGTGTGTGTTTGTGTGTGTGTGGGGTGTGGGCGGGTGTGTGTGCGTGTGTGTGAGTGTGTGTGTGTGGCGTGTGTGTGTGACGTGTGTGTGGGTGTGAGTGTGGGGTGTGTGGGTGTGTGGGGGTGTGTGTGGTGTCGGTGTGGGGTGTGTGGGTGTGTAGGGTGTGTGGGTGTGTGGAGTGTGGTGTGGGTGTGTGGGGGTGTGCTGTGTGTGTGTGGTGTGTGTGGTGTGTGTGTGTGTGTGGCGTGTGTGCGTGTGTGGCGTGTGTGTGTGGCGCGTGTGTGTGTGGTGTGTGTGTGTGGTGTATGTGTGTGTGGTGTGTGTGGGTGTGTGTGTGTGGTGTGTGTGGTGTGTGTGGTGTGTGTGTGTAGTGTTTGGCGTGTGTGCGTGTGTGTGTGGCGTGTGTGTGTGTGGCGTGTGTGGTGTGTGGTGTGTGTGTGTGACGTGTGTGCGTGTGTGTATGTGGTGTGTGTGTGTGTGGCGTGTGTGTGTGTGGCGTGTGTGTGTGTGTGTGGCGTGTGTGGAGTGTGTGTGGCGCGTGTGTGTGTGTGACGTGTGTGTGGTGTGTGGCGCGCGTGTGTGGCGTGTGTGTGTGGCGTGTGTGTGTGGCGTGTGGCGTGTGTGTGGTGTGTGTGGTGTGTGTGTGTGTGGCGTGTGTGTGTGGCGTGTGTGTGTGGCGTGTGGCGTGTGTGTGGTGTGTGTGGTGTGTGTGGAGTGTGTGTGGCGCGTGTGTGTGTGTGACGTGTGTGTGTGTGTGGCGCGCGTGTGTGGCGTGTGTGTGTGGCGTGTGTGTGTGGCGTGTGGCGTGTGTGTGGTGTGTGTGGTGTGTGTGTGTGTGGCGTGTGTGTGTGGCGTGTGTGTGTGGCGTGTGGCGTGTGTGTGGTGTGTGTGGTGTGTGTGGAGTGTGTGTGGCGCGTGTGTGTGTGTGACGTGTGTGTGGTGTGTGGCGCGCGTGTGTGGCGTGTGTGTGTGGCGTGTGTGTGTGGCGTGTGGTGTGCGTGTGGTGTGTGTGTGTGTGGTGTGTGTGTGTGTGGCGTGTGTGTGTGGCGTGTGGCGCGCGCGTGTGTGTGTCTGTGGCGTGTGGCGCGCGTGTGCGGTGGGCGTGTACGGGTGGAGGAGCCTCACGCTCTTGAAGTCCACGTCGGTGACGTCGCGCAGCGCCGCCCGCAGCCCCTCGGCCCACTCGCGGTCGCTGAGCGGGCACTCCTGGGCGCCCAGCGCGTACACGTCGTGCGCCAACGTCAGCGTGGCGTCGTCACGGGTCCTGCCCGCGCCCTGCGACATCAGCCACGTGTGCAGGAAGCGTGGCGGCGGGGCGTTGCCTGGGCACGCGCGACGCCGCAGACACCCGCCGAGTTACGCGGGGAAACCCCGCGCGCTAAGGGCTCGCCGGGGTTCGGACACACAGACACACACACAGACACACGCACAGACACAGACACACGCACAGACACACACAGACACACACGCACAGACACACACAGACACACACGCACAGACACACACACACAGACACACACGCACAGACACACACGCACAGACACACACACACAGACACACACGCGCAGACACACACAGACACACACGCACAGACACACACGCACAGACACACACGCACACAGACACGCGCACACACACGGGGAGACACGCACACAGACACACACACACGGACACATAAACAGGGACACACACAGACACAAACACACAGACACACACACACACACGGGGAGACACGCACACAGACACACATATAGCCACGCACACAGACACACACACTCGGACACATAAACAGGGACACACACAGACACACACACTCGCACACACAACAACCGCCATTCGCCACTAAGTGACGGTGACGTCACCACGACGCTTGTGCCAGGCTATGTGCACCCTGAGGCCACGTGAAGTGTCGAACGCCCGCTGGCAGGAGGTCACGGGGCAGACCCAGGTGCCACGGGTCGACTGACTGAGATGACTGAGATGACTGGCTGATGCACCACCTGTGCCCCCTACTGTGCCAACCTGCTGTGCTTTAGCCACCCGGCGCTCCGCTCGTTGTTGTGAGCGTCGCTCCTCCGCCCTCCGTTGTTGTTGGAGGGCGACTACCTCCAACTGCCCAGTAGCGTCCTTCACGAGCCTCCTCCACAGAGGCCGATCTTGACACCGCTGGTACCAGTCATCGGCAGGTCCACTCAGCTCCACGTCCTCCTGTACCACATCACTCCATCTCTTCTCTAGCCCGTGCCGCGCCCGCTTTGCCCCCTCAATCCGGCCGAACAAAAGCTGTTTCGGCATGCGGTGGCTGGGCATGCGGGCTACATGACCCAGCCATCGCAGCCTTGCCCGCCGGAGGAGCTCACCGATGGGACCTTGCCCAGATCTTTCAAGGATTTGTGAGCTCCTCGCACAATCCAGTCTGGTTAAACCCAGGATGGATCGTAGGCAGGCCAACCTAAATGTTTCTAACCGGCGAAGATGTTCCATTAGGGGGGTCCACGTTTCGCAAGCGTAGAGAATGGAGGGAATAACCGTGGCCGAGAAGACCTGAAGCTTAGTGCGGAGCGACAGACCAGGTAGCTTCCACACAGCGTTACGCAACCGATGAAAAGATATTGCCGCTCGACTGATTCGGAGTGAGACCGCTGCTGTTAAACTGGAGCCAGTCATAAGCACACTGCCCAGGTATGGGAAACTCTCCACTCTCTCCACAACTGCCCCATCACCGATCGGGAGTTGTGGGGGTGGAGTGTCCGATGGTACAAAATACCCAGGCAGGTGCTTAGTTTTGGTGGGGCTGATGGTAAGGCCCCACCTCTTAGTGGCACGCTCCACATAGAGCCACGCACACAGACACACGCACACACAGACACACACGCACAGACACACACACGCACAGACACACACACAGACACACACACACACAGACACACATAGACAACTGCTCACCCATGTTCCACGTTCCCACGAAGACGGAGATCATGTCCGGCTCGTCACGGTGAGAATGCTTCACCTTCATCTGCTGCAGCAGCTGGCAGAACGCCTCTCGCTTCTGCAGTCGCGAAGAACCGAAACGGGAAAAGGTTTCCAGTGTAGCCTCTAACGGGGCTACACTGCAGCAGCAGCAGCAAGAGCTAGCAGCAGCAGCAGTAGCAGCAGCGAGCAGCAGCAGCAACAGCAGCAGCAGTAGTAGGCAGCAGCAGCAGCGAGCAGCAACAGCAGCAGCAGGATCTAGCAGCAGCAGCAGGAGCTAGCAGCAGCAGGAGCTAGCAGTGGTGGCGGGGAGCGGTGGGTGTAGTGGTTAGCGCTACGCTGCGCCACGAACCTGGCGACCTGGGTTCGATTCACACTCGCGGCCAACGCCACCGGTGACGATTATCTGAACCGGTCCTGGGCCTCCCCTAGGTCGACTCAGCCTCAAATAAGCACCTGGTGCGGTGTGTAGTAAACATCGTCACTAGGGCAGGCAAAAGCGGCCGGGCGTGGTGCTGGCCACCCACCACCTCGCGTGCCGTGCCGGCCTTCATAGGTGCTCGCTAACAGCACTTGCCCCTACAGTCTTGATAAGGCTACACTGGAGATCTTTGTCTTTGGTGGTGCTGGTAGGTGGTGCTGGCGTCAGTGGCTATTGCCGGTAGCGGTGGTAGTGATGATGGTAGTGGTGCTGTCCATGGTGCTAGTGGGTGCTGGTGCTGTCCATGGTGCTAGTGGGTGCTGGTGCTGTCCATGGTGCTAGTGGGTGGTGGTGCTGTCCAGGGTGCTAGCGGGTGTTGCTGTCCATGGTGCTAGTGGGTGGTGGTGCTGTCCAGGGTGCTAGTGGGTGGTGGTGCTGTCCAGGGTGCTAGTGGGTGCTGGTGCTGTCCATGGTGCTAGTGGGTGGTGGTGCTGTCCAGGGTGCTAGCGGGTGTTGCTGTCCATGGTGCTAGTGGGTGGTGGTGCTGTCCAGGGTGCTAGTGGGTGGTGGTGCTGTCCAGGGTGCTAGCGGGTGTTGCTGTCCATGGTGCTAGTGGGTGGTGGTGCTGTCCAGGGTGCTAGTGGGTGGTGGTGCTGTCCATGGTGCTAGTGGGTGGTGGTGCTGTCCAGGGTGCTAGTGGGTGGTGGTGCTGTCCATGGTGCTAGTGGGTGGTGGTGCTGTCCATGGTGCTAGTGGGTGGTGGTGCTGTCCACGGTGCTAGTGGGTGGTGGTGCTGTCCATGGTGCTAGTGGGTGGTGTTGCTGTCCATGGTGCTAGTGGGTGGTGGTGCTGTCCATGGTGCTAGTGGGTGGTGGTGCTGTCCATGGTGCTAGTGGGTGGTGGTGCTGTCCACGGTGCTAGTGGGTGGTGGTGCTGTCCATGGTGGTAGTGGGTGGTGGTGCTGTCCATGGTGCTAGTGGGTGGTGGTGCTGTCCACGGTGCTAGTGGGTGGTGGTGCTGTCCAGGGTGCTAGTGGGTGGTGGTGCTGTCCACGGTGCTAGTGGGTGGTGGTGCTCTCCATGGTGCTAGTGGGTGGTGGTGCTGTCCAGGGTCTTAGTGGTTGGGGTTGCTGTCCATGGTGCTAGTGGGTGGTGGTGCTGTCCATGGTGCTAGTGGGTGGTGGTGCTGTCCATGGTGCTAGTGGGTGATGGTGCTGTTCAGGGTGCTAGTGGGTGGTGGTGATGTCCATGGTGCTAGTGGGTGGTGGTGCTGTCCATCGTGCTAGTGGGTGGTGGTGCTGTCCATGGTGCTAGTGGGTGGTGGTGCTGTCCATGGTGCTAGTGGGTGCTGGTGCTGTCCAGGGTGCTAGTGGGTGGTGGTGCTGTCCATCGTGCTAGTGGGTGGTGGTGCTGTCCATGGTGCTAGTGGGTGCTGGTGCTGTCCAGGGTGCTAGTGGGTGGTGGTGGTGCTGGTGCTAGTGGGTGGTGGTGGTGGCATTGCTAGTGGGTGGTGGTGCTAGTGGGTGGTGGGTGGCGGTGCTAGTGGGTGGTGGTGGTGCTGGTGCTAGTGGGTGGTGGTGGTGCTAGTGGGTGGTGGTGCTAGTGGGTGGTGGAGGTGGTGGTGGTGGTGCTAGTGGGTGGTGGTGGTGCTGGTGCTAGTGGGTGGTGGTGATGGCGTTGCTAGTGGGTGGTGGTGCTAGTGGGTGGTGGGTGGCGGTGCTAGTGGGTGGTGGTGATGCTGGTGCTAGTGGGTGGTGGTGCTAGTGGGTGGAGGGTGGTGGTGCTAGTGGGTGGTGGTGGTGGCGTTGCTAGTGGGTGGTGTTGCTAGTGGGTGGTGGGTGGCGGTGCTAGTGGGTGGTGGGGTTGCTAGTGGGTGGTGGTGCTGGTGCTAGTGGGTGGTGGTGCTAGTGGGTGGTGGTGGTGGCGTTGCTAGTGGGTGGTGGTGCTAGTGGGTGGTGGTGGTGGTGCTAGTGGGTGGTGGTGGTGGTGCTGGTGCTAGTGGGTGGTGGTGGGTGATGGTGCTAGTGGGTGGTGGTGGGTGGTGGTACTAGTGGGTGGTGGTGCTAGTGGGTGGTGGTGGTGGGTGGTGGTGCTAGTGGGTGGTGGTGCTGGTGGTGCTAGTGGGTGGTAGTGCTGGTGGTGCTAGTGGGTGGTGGTGCTGGTGGTGGTATGTCGGAGAGACCCGCGCGTCGGAGAAGATGAAGTCCCTGCGGTTGTTCTTGTCGCGGTCACGGTCGAACACGATGCTCAGCTTATTGTGGAACCGCTGAGACTTGATGAGCTGCAAGACTGGCACAGCGGATCGGCATCAGCATCATCATCAACAGGGAGCATTGTCATCAGGATTGTCATCAGCAGGATCTCTGTGTCTCTGACACGGCCATCGTGAACCCACTGAGAGAGAGACACCCAGACCCAGGGCTCGAACCCAGCCTCTCGGTGTCTCCGACACGGCCATCGTGAACCCACTGAGAGACACCCAGACCCAGGGCTCGAACCCAGCCTCTCAGTGTCTCTGACACGGCCATCGTGAACCCACTGAGAGAGAGACACCCAGACCCAGGGCTCGAAACCAGCCTCTCAGTGTCACCGACACGGCCATCGTGAACCCACTGAGAGAGAGACACCCAGACCCAGGGCTCGAACCCAGCCTCTCAGTGTCTCCGACACGGCCATCGTGAACCCACTGAGAGAGAGACACCCAGACCCAGGGCTCGAACCCAGCCTCTCGGTGTCTCCGACACGGCAATCGTGAAACAAAAGTAGTCGCGACAATGAATGAGCGCCAGCCTCTATCCACGGCCGGGAATCGAACCCGGGTGGTGGTGGTGGTGGTGGGGGGCTCACTGCGCTCGTGCGTGTAGCTGTCCACCTCATCCAGACCGTCTTTGTTTCTCCGCAGCATCACCAACCTCCCCTCCTCCACCTCCACACGCAGCAGCGGCTTCTTGCCCAGCCGGGTGAACTCGGAGAGGTGGGAGTCCACCTTGACCTGCGGCGGTGGCGGTGCAATAGAAGTACTTAACAACGTCGTCCTCACGTGGCGCCGCACCCACCCACCCGCACACTCACAGACTTAGTAACCTTGCACTGCGGCAGCGGCGGACGTGGTGGTGCAATAGAGGTACCGTGCAACTTCACGTGGCACCCTGCCCACCCAGCTCACTCGTCCACTCATGCAGTCATCCACTCATTCACTCTCTCACTCAGTCACCGGTCCACCCACTACTCATTCACTCTCTCACTCAGACACCGGTCCACCCACACTCATTCACTCTCTCACTCAGTCACCGGTCCACCCACACTCATTCACTCTCTCACTCAGTCACCGGTCCACCAAACCACATTCACTCTCTCACTCAGTCACCGGTCCACCCACACTCATTCACTCTCTCACTCAGTCACCGGTCCACCCACACTCATTCACTCTCTCACTCAGTCACCGGTCCACCCACACTCATTCACTCTCTCACTCAGTCACCGGTCCACGCACACTCATTCACTCTCTCACTCAGTCACCGGTCCACCCACACTCATTCACTCTCTCACTCAGTCACCGGTCCACCAAACCACATTCACTCTCTCACTCAGTCACCGGTCCACCCACACTCATTCACTCTCTCACTCAGACACCGGTCCACCCACACTCATTCACTCTCTCACTCAGTCACCGGTCCACCCACACACATTCACTCTCTCACTCAGTCACCGGTCCACCCAACCACATTCACTCTCTCACTCAGCCACCGGTCCACCCAACCACATTCACTCTCTCACTCAGTCACCGGTCCACCCACACTCATTCACTCTCTCACTCAGTCACCGGTCCACCCACTACTCATTCACTCTCTCACTCAGTCACCGGTCCACCCACACACATTCACTCTCTCACTCAGACACCGGTCCACTCACACTCATTCACTCTCTCACTCAGACACCGGTCCACTCACACTCATTCACTCTCTCACTCAGTCACCGGTCCACGCACACTCATTCACTCTCTCACTCAGTCACCGGTCCACCAAACCACATTCACTCTCTCACTCAGTCACCGGTCCACCCACTACTCATTCACTCTCTCACTCAGTCACCGGTCCACCCACACTCATTCACTCTCTCACTCAGTCACCAGTCCACCCACACTCATTCACTCTCTCACTCAGTCACCGGTCCACGCACACTCATTCACTCTCTCACTCAGTCACCGGTCCACCCACACTCATTCACTCTCTCACTCAGTCACCGGTCCACCCACACACATTCACTCTCTCACTCAGTCACCGGTCCACCCACACTCATTCACTCTCTCACTCAGACACCAGTCCACCCACACTCATTCACTCTCTCACTCAGTCACCGGTCCACGCACACTCATTCACTCTCTCACTCAGTCACCGGTCCACCCACACTCATTCACTCTCTCACTCAGTCACCGGTCCACCCACACTCATTCACTCTCTCACTCAGTCACCGGTCCACCCACACTCATTCACTCTCTCACTCAGTCACCGGTCCACCCACACTCATTCACTCTCTCACTCAGTCACCGGTCCACTCACACTCATTCACTCTCTCACTCAGTCACCGGTCCACCCACACTCATTCACTCTCTCACTCAGTCACCGGTCCACCCACACTCATTCACTCTCTCACTCAGTCACCGGTCCACGCACACTCATTCACTCTCTCACTCAGTCACCGGTCCACCCACACTCATTCACTCTCTCACTCAGTCACCGGTCCAAGCACACACATTCACTCTCTCACTCAGTCACCGGTCCACCCACACTCATTCACTCTCTCACTCAGTCACCGGTCCACCCACACTCATTCACTCTCTCACTCAGTCACCGGTCCAAGCACACACTCGCAGACTTGGTGACCTTGGGATGTCTTAGCGGTGGATGCGGTGGTGCCACGGATGTACCGTGCAACTTCAGGCGCCACTCTCCCCACCTTCAACCCACACCTCCAGCCCACCTAACCCCCTACCCCACCCCACCCATCACTCTCCTGGCTCTAACAAGCGTGCTGATGACAAGAACGCCAAATCAATGAATGTCAATGATCGCCGCGACAAATTGGCGGTGGCGACGTCGCAAAATGCCGTACCTCAAACAGCGCGCCGTTCGCCGCATTCCTCAGGGTGTGAGACGCTGGGAGTTGGATTCCAGTGAGGGCCGGCAAGGCCTCCAGGATCTGTGCGTCGGCGAGACCGCGGGCAGGCCCGAGAGGCGGCCTCGTCAAAACGCCGTCGCAACACGCGGGCGGCCTCCAGCCGTGGTCACGGGGAGGTCCTCGCGAGACGAAATTTCCCACCTCCCCCCCCCCCCTCCGCGCGTGTGACGGAAAGCGAACACAAATCCCCATCCCACCGCCCCGCCCCACCGAGCCCATGATGAAATCCCGTAGCCGGCAATGGCCGCGCCGCACCGAACGCCCGATCACGCGGGTGAGTGGGTGAGTGTGAGCTAGTAGGTGAGTGTGAGTAGGTGAGTGTGAGCTAATGAGTGAGTGGGTGGTCGAGTGGGTGAGCGAGCGGGCGGGTGAGTAGGTGAGTGTGAGTTAATGAGTGAGTGGGTAGTGGAGTGGGTGAGCGAGCGAGCGGGTGTGTAGGTGAGTGTGAGCTAATGAGTGAGTGGGTGGTGGAGTGGGTGAGCTAGCGGGTGAGTAGGTGAGTGTGAGCTAATGAGTGAGTGGGTGGTGGAGTGGGTGAGCGAGCGGGTGAGTAGGTGAGTGTGAGCTAATGAGTGAGTGGGTGGTGGAGTGGGTGAGCGAGCGGGTGAGTAGGTGAGTGTGAGCTAATGAGTGAGTGGGTGGTGGAGTGGGTGAGCTAGCGGGTGAGTGTGAGCTAATGAGTGAGTGGGTGGTGGAGTGGGTGAGTGAGCGAGCGGGTGGGTGAGTGGGTGAGTGTGAGTTAATGAGTGAGTGGGTGGTGGAGTGGGTGAGCGAGTGGGTGAGTAGGTGGGTTAATGAGAGTGTGGGTGGTGGAGTGGGTGAGCGAGCGGGTGAGTGTGAGCTAATGAGTGAGTGGGTGGTGGAGTGGGTGAGCGAGCGAGCGGGTGAGTAGGTGAGTGTGAGCTAATGAGTGAGTGGGTGGTGGAGTGGGTGAGCGAGTGGGTGAGTAGGTGGGTTAATGAGTGAGTGGGTGGTGGAGTGGGTGAGCGAGCGGGTGAGTAGGTGGGTTAATGAGTGAGTGGGTGGTGGAGTGGGTGAGCGAGTGGGTGAGTAGGTGGGTTAATGAGAGTGTGGGTGGTGGAGTGGGTGAGCGAGCGGGTGAGTAGGTGGGTTAATGAGTGAGTGGGTGGTGGAATGGGTGAGCGAGCGGGTGAGTGTGAGCTAATGAGTGAGTGGGTGGTGGAGTGGGTGAGCGAGCGAGCGGGCGAGTAGGTGAGTGTGAGCTAATGAGTGAGTGGGTGGTGGAGTGGGTGAGCGAGCGAGCGGGTGAGTAGGTGAGTGTGAGCTAATGAGTGAGTGGGTGGTGGAGTGGGTGAGCGAGCGAGCGGGTGAGTAGGTGAGTTAATGAGTGAGTGGGTGGTGGAGAGGATGAGCGAGCGGATGAGTAGGTGAGTGTGAGTGAATGAGTGAGTGGGTGGTGGAGTGGGTGAGCGAGTGGGTGAGTAGGTGAGTGTGAGCTAATGAGTGAGTGGGTGGTGGAGTGGGTGAGCGAGCGGGCGGGTGAGTAGGTGAGTGTGAGCTAATGAGTGAGTGGGTGGTGGAGTGGGTGAGCGAGCGAGCGGGTGTGTAGGTGAGTGTGAGCTAATGAGTGAGTGGGTGGTGGAGTGGGTGAGCGAGCGGGCGAGTAGGTGAGTGTGAGCTAATGAGTGAGTGGGTGGTGGAGTGGGTGAGCTAGCGGGTGAGTAGGTGAGTGTGAGCTAATGAGTGAGTGGGTGGTGGAGTGGGTGAGCTAGCGGGTGAGTGTGAGCTAATGAGTGAGTGGGTGGTGGAGTGGGTGAGTGAGCGAGCGGGCGGGTGAGTGGGTGAGTGTGAGTTAATGAGTGAGTGGGTGGTGGAGTGGGTGAGCGAGTGGGTGAGTAGGTGGGTTAATGAGAGTGTGGGTGGTGGAGTGGGTGAGCGAGCGGGTGAGTAGGTGGGTTAATGACTGAGTGGGTGGTGGAGTGGGTGAGCGAGCGGGTGAGTAGGTGGGTTAATGAGTGAGTGGGTGGTGGAGTGGGTGAGCGAGTGGGTGAGTAGGTGGGTTAATGAGAGTGTGGGTGGTGGAGTGGGTGAGCGAGCGGGTGAGTAGGTGGGTTAATGAGTGAGTGGGTGGTGGAGTGGGTGAGCGAGCGGGTGAGTGAGTAGGTGAGTGTGAGCTAATGAGTGAGTGGGTCGTGGAGTGGGTGAGCGAGCGAGCGGGCGAGTAGGTGAGTGTGAGCTAATGAGTGAGTGGGTGGTGGAGTGGGTGAGCGAGCGAGCGGGTGAGTAGGGGAGTGTGAGCTAATGAGTGAGTGGGTGGTGGAGTGGGTGAGCGAGTGGGTGAGTAGGTGAGTGTGAGTGAATGAGTGAGTGGGTGGTGGAGTGGGTGAGCGAGTGGGTGAGTAGGTGAGTGTGAGCTAATGAGTGAGTGGGTGGTGGAGTGGGTGAGCGAGCGGGCGGGTGAGTAGGTGAGTGTGAGCTAATGAGTGAGTGGGTGGTGGAGTGGGTGAGCGAGCGAGCGGGTGTGTAGGTGAGTGTGAGCTAATGAGTGAGTGGGTGGTGGAGTGGGTGAGCGAGCGGGCGAGTAGGTGAGTAGGTGGGTTAATGAGTGAGTGGGTGGTGGAGTGGGTGAGCTAGCGGGTGAGTGTGAGCTAATGAGTGGGTGGTGGAGTGGGTGAGCGAGCGGGTGAGTAGGCGAGTGTGAGCTAATGAGTGAGTGGGTGGTGGAGTGGGTGAGCTAGCGGGTGAGTGTGAGCTAATGAGTGAGTGGGTGGTGGAGTGGGTGAGTGAGCGAGCGGGCGGGTGAGTGGGTGAGTGTGAGTTAATGAGTGAGTGGGTGGTGGAGTGGGTGAGCGAGTGGGTGAGTAGGTGGGTTAATGAGAGTGTGGGTGGTGGAGTGGGTGAGCGAGCGGGTGAGTAGGTGGGTTAATGAGTGAGTGGGTGGTGGAGTGGGTGAGCGAGCGGGTGAGTAGGTGGGTTAATGAGTGAGTGGGTGGTGGAGTGGGTGAGCGAGTGGGTGAGTAGGTGGGTTAATGAGAGTGTGGGTGGTGGAGTGGGTGAGCGAGCGGGTGAGTAGGTGGGTTAATGAGTGAGTGGGTGGTGGAGTGGGTGAGCGAGCGGGTGAGTGAGTAGGTGAGTGTGAGCTAATGAGTGAGTGGGTCGTGGAGTGGGTGAGCGAGCGAGCGGGCGAGTAGGTGAGTGTGAGCTAATGAGTGAGTGGGTGGTGGAGTGGGTGAGCGAGTGGGTGAGTAGGTGAGTGTGAGTGAATTAGTGAGTGGGTGGTGGAGAGGGTGAGCGAGCGGGTGAGTAGGTGAGTTAATGAGTGAGTGGGTGGTGGAATGGGTGAGCGAGCGGGTGAGTGTGAGCTAATGAGTGAGTGGGTGGTGAAGTGGGTGAGCGAGCGAGCGGGTGAGTAGGTGAGTGTGAGTGAATGCGTGAGTGGGTGGTGGAGTGGGTGAGCGAGTGGGTGAGTAGGTGAGTGTGAGTGAATGAGTGAGTGGGTGGTGGAGTGGGTGAGCGAGTGGGTGAGTAGGTGAGTGTGAGCTAATGAGTGAGTGGGTGGTGGAGTGGGTGAGCGAGCGGGTGAGTAGGTGAGTGTGAACTAATGAGTGAGTGGGTGGTGGAGTGGGTGAGCGAGCGGGTGAGTAGGTGAGTGTGAGCTATTGAGTGAGTGGATGGTGGAGTGGGTGAGCTAGTAGGTGAGTGTGAGCTAATGAGTGAGTGGGTGGTCGAGTGGGTGAGCGAGCGGGTGAGTAGGTGAGTGGGTGAATGAGTTAGTGGGTTATCGAGTGGGTGAGTGAGCGGGTGGTGGTGGGAAGGGGGTCTCTGTGGTAGCAATTCCACATTCCCATGGCAGGGAGCCGGGCATGTACCTTCTTTTCAAAGGTGGACAGTCCTTCGGAGAGTGTTCCAAGCTTGGTGATGACGTCGGCCAAAGTTGGAACTGAAGATGCCTGTGGGAACAGATGGAAATTGGTCCACACACCACTCCACCAGGTACTCATTTGAGGCTGAGTCGACCCAGGGGAGGACCGATTCAGATAATCGCCGTCACCGAGGGTGTTTCGGTTGCGAGCGGGAATCAAACTCGGGGGTTGCTGGGTTCATTGTGCAGTGTACTGCACCGCCGCCGCCGCCGCCACCACCACCACCACCACCACCGCTCCCCACACATTACCACCACCACCACCACCACCGCTACCACCACCGCCACCACCACAGCTACCAACACCACCGCTACCACCACTGCTACCACCACCGTCACCACCACCACCACCACCACCGCTACCACCACTGCTACCACCACCGCCACCACCACCGCTACCACCAACACCACCACCACCGCTACCACCACCACCTCGACTACCATCACTACTACCACCACCACCACCGCCACCACCGCCACCACCACCACCACCGCCACCACCACCACCACCGCCACCACCACCACCACCACCGTCACCGCCGCCACCGCTGCGTACCCGGCTGGTGGTGTGTGCTGCCACCAGCGGCTGGTTGAAGGCTCGCCCCACGTGATCCAGGAGGCTCAGCACGTGGTCCAGCTCCCTGGGCGCACACACGGCACGCAGCATCGTCAACATCGTCATCAGCATCGTCATCAGCATCATCAGCATCGTCAACATCGTCATCAGCATCATCAGCATCGTCAACATCGTCATCAGCATCGTCATCATCGTCAGCATCGTCATCAGTATCGTCATCAGCATCGGCATCATTATCAGAATCGTCATCAGAGTCGTCATCAGCATCGTCAGCATCGTCAGCATCATCATCATCATCGTCATTGTCGTCATCATCGTCGTCATCATGATTATCGTCATCGTCGTCATCATCGTCGTCATCATGATCATCGTCATCGTCGTCATCATCGTTGTCATCATGATCATCGTCATCGTCGTCATCATCGTCGTCATCATGATCATCGTCATCGTCGTCATCATCGTCGTCGTCATCATCGTCATCATGATCATCGTCATCGCCGTCATCATCGTCGTCATCATGATCATCGTCGTCATCAGGGGGAAAAGAAGGAAAACAGACGGAACAAGAAGGACAAAGTGATACGAATGAAAAAACGATGGGGAAAAATGAAAAAAAAAACTCTTTCAAGTAAGAATAAGTTGGAAAAAGGGGGGGGAGAAGGAAATAGTAAGAAAAAAGAAGGAATAAACAATGAAAAAAGGGAGAAAGAAGGAAAATTAAATAAGAAAAAGTGACAATGAGAACGAAACATTGAAGGAAAAAAAATATAGGTAGGGAGAATGAAAAACAATTAAGAATCTCACCCCGCCCCCCACCCCTTCCCCCCCAGCCCAGGGCTGTGTGGGCTGGGCCACGAGGAGCAGCAGCAGGGGGCGTGGTAGAGGCGGGAGGGGTGATCATAACCAGGGGGCGTGGACATGGGCGTGGCCATGGCATGGCGCCTCGCCGGGGGCGTGACCATTACACGGGGCGTGGCCATGGTTGCGGCCAGGGGCGTGGAGGGCGGCGTCGGAGGAGGGGTGTCAAGAGGCGTGGCCTGAGAGGTGTGACCATGCCACTGGGCGTGGCCGTGACAGGGGGCGTGGCCGGAGAGGTGTGGCCCGGGGGCGTGGCAGGAGGCGTGGAAGGGGGCGTCGGCGGATGGGGTGTAAGGAGGCGGGGCCGGGGAGGTGTGGCCTTGCCACCGGGCGTGGCCGTGACAGGGGGCGTGGCCGGAGAGGTGTGGCCCGGGGACGTGGCAGGAGGCGTGGAAGGGGGCGTCGGCGAATGGGGTGTAAGGAGGCGGGGCCGGGGAGGTGAGACCATGCCACTGGGCGTGGCCATGACAGGGTGCACGTCATCGTTTTGGGTCTTTCGGTAAAAGTCACGTCGACAGGTTCAAAGAAAATCACAAAAAGTAACAAATGAAATACGTCGTTTCGATCGCAACACAAGCGTGTACGTCATCGGGAAGACATGCAATACCCAGGTGTCTACAAACTGAGTTGTGGCTGCCGCAGCAGTTACATTGGAACGCGTTTCGCGGACACAAGGCGGATCTGAAACACGGTAGGACCAATACCTCTGCCGTTGCCGATCGTTGTTTTTAAATCTCTGAAGGTAACCCACCGGCTACCTTCAGAGATTTGTTCACGAAGCCACATCCAGATATATAAACACGGACACAGCTTCAGCCGAGAGGATGGGTGCTAACCGAGCAATCATTGGAAGGACGTTATTAACCAGGTAAAGTTTTAACTGACTGTGATGTTTTGATCCTACCTGCCTATGTCACTCTCTGTGTCTTTCTCTCTCTCTCTCTGTGCATCGCTCTCCGATCTCAACTCCAGTGACCCGGGGTCTGCCGCGGGGTCCACTTTCTGCCCCGCCTCCTCTCCCCGCTACTGCCGAGGCCTACACTAGGACCTCGTACCACGGCAGATCTCTCGCCAACTTCAGCAGTTGTTTTCTTGCTGTGGTTGTCTCACCTGATGGCGATTGCTGTGGTTGTCCTGATGACGATTGCTGTGGTTGTCTCACCTGATGACGATTGCTGTGGTTGTCCTGATGACGATTGCTGTGGTTGTCACACCTGATGACGATTGCTGTGGTTGTCTCACCTGATGACGATTGCTGTGGTTGTCTCACCTGATGACGATTGCTGTGGTTGTCTCACCTGATGACGATTGCTGTGGTTGTCTTGATGACGATTGCTGTGGTTGTCCCACTTGATGACGACTGCTGTGGTTGTCTCACCTGATGACGATTGCTGTGGTTGTCTCACCTGATGACGATTGCTGTGGTTGTCCCACCTGATGACGATTGCTGTGGTTGTCCCACCTGATGACGATTGCTGTGGTTGTCACACCTGATGACGATTGCTGTGGTTGTCTTGATGACGATTGCTGTGGTTGTCACACCTGATGACGATTGCTGTGGTTGTCCTGATGACGATTGCTGTGGTTGTCCCACCTGATGACGATTGCTGTGGTTGTACCACCTGATGACGATTGCTGTGGTTGTCCCACCTGATGACGATGGCTGTGGTTGTCCCACCTGATGACGATGGCTGTGGTTGTCTCACCTGATGACGATTGCTGTGGTTGCCCCACCTGATGACGATTGCTGTGGTTGCCCCACCTGATGACGATTGCTGTGGTTGCCCCACCTGATGACCATTGCTGTGGTTGTCCCACCTGATGACGATGGCTGTGGTTGTCCCACCTGATGACGATTGCTTGCGTTGCGATCGAAACTCTGTGATCTATAACTTTGTCTACCCACGTGACTTTACCGAAAGAACCAAAGAGCATGGATTCCTGCAGTCACGAAAGCTTCAAATCAAGATTAGCATGTAAATGTAAGATTGGGGGGCACGGCAGTGACAGTGGGCGTGGCCGTGTCCGTTGGGGGCGTGTCCGCGGGGGGCGTGTCAGAGGGGGGCGTGTCTGGGAAGGGGGGGCGTGTCCGCGGGCGTCGTGTCCGCGGAGGCGTGTCAGAGGGGGGGCGTGCCCGGGAGGGAGTGTCAATTGGGGGGGCGTGTCCGGGGGGTGGGAGGGGGCGTGTCCAGGGAGGGGAGGGGGGGCGTGTCCCGCTGGTGATGCTCCTCCCCCTCCTCCTCCTCACGTGTGCAGGGGCTGGCAGCAGGCGAGCAGCAGGCGTGAGAGGCGCGTGGGAGGGAGCCCCCCCCGGGCCGCCTCCACGTCCTGGGACAGCCCCCCGCACGCAGCAAACTCGGCCAGGGCGGTGCACAGCGCGGGAGGCAGCCTGCGGGGGGGGAGGGGCGAGGGGAGGGGGGAGGGGCCAGGGGAGGGGGAGGGGCGAGGGGAGGGGGAGGGGCGAGGGGAGGGGAGGGGGAGGGGCGAGGGGAGGGGCGAGGGAGGGGGGGGTGAATCAGACAGCTGACGAGGTCACTCGCTCAGTCTAACCAAACACTCGCTCGCTCATGACACTCACACTGCTGCTGACGATGCTTACGGTTAACATGGTGACGATAACGATTACATGATGATGAGAATGACGATGATCAATAGAGACACGATGATGATGGTGATGATGATGGTGATAATGATTACATGATGATGATGATGATGAGAATGACGATGATCAATAGAGACACGACGATGATGATGGTGATGATGGTGATAATGATTACATGATGATGATGATGATGAGAATGATGATGATCAATAGAGAAACGATGATGATGGTGATAATGATTACATGATGATGATGATGATGCTGACAAAGATGGTGACAATGGAGACAGGATGATGGTGATGATGATGCTTCTGCTGATGGTGATGCTGCTGATGATAATGATTACGTGATGATGATGATGATGATGACAATGATGATGACAATAGAGTCATGATGATGATGATGATAATGATGGTGACGACGATGATGGTGACGACGGTGATTGTGACGATGATGATTGTGATGACGATGATGGTGACGATGGTGATCGTGACGACGATGATTGTGACGATGATGATGGTGACGACGATGATGGTGACGGTGATGATGGTGACGACGGTGATGGTGACGATGATGATTGTGACGACGGTGATGGTGACGACGGTGATGGTGCCAACGATGACTGTGACGACGATGATGGTGAAGACGGTGATAGTGACAACGATGATTGTGACGACGGTGATGGTGACGACGATGATGGTGACGACGATGATGGTGACGATGATGATGGTGACGACGGTGATGGTGACAACGGTGATGGTGATGATGATGATTGTGACGACAATGATGGTGACGACGATGATGGTGACGACAGTGATTGTGACGACGATGATTGTGACGACGATGACTGTGACGACGGTGATGGTGACGACGATGATGGTGACGATGATGATGGTGACAACGATGATGGTGACGACGGTGATTGTGACGATGATGATGGTGACGACGATGATGGTGACGACGGTGATTGTGACGACGATGATTGTGACGGCGATGACTGTGACGACGGTGATGGTGACAACGATGATGGTGACGATGATGATGGTGACGACGATGATGGTGACGACGGTGATGGTGACGATGATGATTGTGACGACGGTGATGGTGACGACGGTGATGGTGCCAACGATGACTGTGACGACGATGATGGTGAAGACGGTGATAGTGACAACGATGATTGTGACGACGGTGATGGTGACGACGATGATGGTGACGACGATGATGGTGACGATGATGATGGTGACGACGGTGATGGTGACAACGGTGATGGTGATGATGATGATTGTGACGACAATGATGGTGACGACGATGATGGTGACGACAGTGATTGTGACGACGATGATTGTGACGACGATGACTGTGACGACGGTGATGGTGACGACGATGATGGTGACGATGATGATGGTGACAACGATGATGGTGACGACGGTGATTGTGACGATGATGATGGTGACGACGATGATGGTGACGACGGTGATTGTGACGACGATGATTGTGACGGCGATGACTGTGACGACGGTGATGGTGACAACGATGATGGTGACGATGATGATGGTGACAACGATTATGGTGACAAAAGTGACGGTGACGGCGATGATTGTGACGATGATGATGGTGACGACGATGATGGTGACGGTGATTGTGACGACGGTGATGGTGACGACGATGATTGTGACGATGATGACTGTGACGACGATGATGGTGACGATGATGATGGTGACGACGATGATGGTGACGACGGTGATGGTGACGACGATGATTGTAACGACGATGATGGTGACGATGATGATGGTGACGACGATGATGGTGACGATGGTGATGGTGACGACGATGATTGTGACGACGGTGATGGTGACGACGGTGATGGTGCCAACAATGACTGTGACGACGATGATAGTGAAGACGGTGATAGTGACAACGATGATTGTGACGACGGTGATGGTGACGACGATGATGGTGATGACGATGATGGTGACGATGATGATGGTGACGACGGTGATGGTGACAACGGTGATGGTGATGATGATGATGATTGTGACGACAATGATGGTGACGACGATGATGGTGACGACAGTGATTGTGACGACGATGATTGTGACGATGATGACTGTGACGACGGTGATGGTGACGACGATGATGGTGACGATGATGATGGTGACAACGATGATGGTGACGACGGTGATTGTGACGATGATGATGGTGACGACGATGATGGTGACGACGGTGATTGTGACGACGATGATTGTGACGGCGATGACTGTGACGACGGTGATGGTGACAACGATGATGGTGACGATGATGATGGTGACAACGATTATGGTGACAAAGGTGACGGTGACGGCGATGATTGTGACGATGATGATGGTGACGACGATGATGGTGACGGTGATTGTGACGACGGTGATGGTGACGACGATGATTGTGACGATGATGACTGTGACGACGATGATGGTGACGATGATGATGGTGACGACGATGATGGTGACGACAGTGATGGTGACGACGATGATTGTAACGACGATGATGGTGACGATGATGATGGTGACGACGATGATGGTGACGACGGTGATGGTGACGACGATGATTGTGACGACGGTGATGGTGACGACGGTGATGGTGCCAACAATGACTGTGACGACGATGATGGTGAAGACGGTGATAGTGACAACGATGATTGTGACGACGGTGATGGTGACGACGATGATGGTGACGACGATGATGGTGACGATGATGATGGTGACGACGGTGATGGTGACAACGGTGATGGTGATGATGATGATTGTGGCGACAATGATGGTGACGACGATGATGGTGACGACAGTGATTGTGACGACGATGATTGTGACGACGATGACTGTGACGACGGTGATGGTGACGACGATGATGGTGACGATGATGATGGTGACAACGATGATGGTGACGACGGTGATTGTGACGATGATGATGGTGACGACGATGATGGTGACGACGGTGATTGTGACGACGATGATTGTGACGGCGATGACTGTGACGACGGTGATGGTGACAACGATGATGGTGACGATGATGATGGTGACAACGATTATAGTGACAAAGGTGACGGTGACGGCGATGATTGTGACGACGATGATGGTGACGACGATGATTGTGACGACGATGACTGTGACAACGATGATGGTGACGACGGTGATGGTGATGGCGATGATTGTGACGACGATGATGGTGACGACGGTGATGGTGACGATGGTGATGGTGACGACGGTGATTGTGACGATGATGATTGTGACGACGGTGATTGTGACGACGATGACTGTGATGACAATGATGGTGACGACGGTGATGGTGACGGCGATGATTGTGACGACGATGATGGTGACGACGGTGATGGTGACGACGGTGATGGTGATGACGATGATTGTGACGACGATGATGGTGACGACGGTGATTGTGACGATTGTGACGACGGTGATTGTGACGACGGGACAGGACCGACCCTTCCTTGCTGATGTCTGAGATCTTCTGCTGGAGGGCGATGACGCGCGGTGACGCGGCCGACGAGGTGGGCGAGGGGCCGCTGGAGTCGACCCGAGGAGGTAGCGGCGGGCGCTCCTCCTCGCCGTCTGTCGGGGGATGACGAGGTGGTGGTGGCATCGTCATCGCCGTGATCATCATCGTCGTCGTCATCGTTGTCATAATCATCGTCGTCGTCATCGTCACCATCATCATCATCGTCATCATCGTCTTCATCATCATCATCATCGTCGTCATCGTCGTCATCATCATCGTCATCATCATCGTCATCATCATCATCATTGTCGTCATCGTCGTCATCATCATCATCGTCATCATCATCATCGTCATCATTATCGTCATCATCGTCATCATCATTGCCATCATCATCATCATCGTTATCATCGTCATCATCACTGTCGTCATTATCATCATCGTCATCACTGTGATGATCATCATCATCATCATCGTCATCATCATCACCACAATCATCGCCATCGTCGCCACCACTTTAGAAGAGGAGTGGTGATGTGAGACGGCTGATCCTGCCATTGACGGCGGTGGCGCTGACGGTGCTGATGATGATGCTGATGAAGATGGTGCTGATGATGATGCTGATGAAGATAGTGCTGATGATGATGTTGCTGATGCTGATGAAGATGGTGCTGATGATGATGTTGCTGATGATGATGATGACGACGCTGGTGGAGGCACCTGGCAGACCTTTCTCCTCCTACGGCTCCTCGGCCACCCTCTGCACCGCCCACCGCAGTGAGCACACGAGGCCCTGGTTGGCCTGTGTGTAGTTGCCGATGATGGTGGTGATGCCGATGATGATGATGATGGTGGTGATGATGATGATGGTGGTGATGCTGGCGGAGGTACCTGACAGGTCTTTCTCCTCCTGTGGCTCCTCGGCCACACTCTGAATCGCCCACTGCAGTGGGCACACGAGGCCCTGGTTGGGCTGGGTGTAGTTCTCGATGAGCTCGTGCAGGGCGCGGTAGTGCTTGGGTTGCACACCCTGGGAGGCCTGCAGACACCACCACCAGCAGCATCAGCAGGATCAGCAGCAGCATCATCATTAGCATCATTAGCATCATCACCACCGTCATCATCACCGTCATAGTTATCATCGTCATCATCATCGTCATCATCGTCGTCATCGTCATCATCATCATCGTCATCATCATCAGCATCATCACCACCGTCATCATCATCATCGTCATAGTCATCATCATCATCATATTCATCATCGTCGTCATCATCATCGTCATCATCATAGTCATCATCATCATCATCGTCATCATCATTGTCATCATCATAGTCATCATGATCATCATAGTAATCATCATCGTCATCATCATCATTGTCATCATCATCGACATCGTCATCATCATCGTTATCATCATCGTCATCATCATCGTCATCATCATCATCATAGTCATCATCATCATCATAGTCATCATCATCGTCATGGTCATCATCATCGTCATCATCATCATAGCCATCATCATCATCATCATAGTCCTCATCATCGTCATCATCATCGTCATCATCATCTGCATTATCTTTTTTTTTACGATCAGAAGAAATATAAAGAATTTTTTTCGACTTAAACCTTTCGCGACTGCAGGGATTCATCTTATTGGTTCTTTCGGTAAAGTCACCGCCACGTAGAAGGGAAACAATAAAATAATAAAAATAAAACATAATAAAAATAAAAATAAAATAAAATTGTGTGATTTTATTTCCATTCTACGTGACTGTACCGAAAGAACCAAGAAGATGAATACAAAGATGCTCGGTCTTTCGGCACTTTGCATCGTTCATCATGTCGTCTTACCGTTTTCCCACGTCACGTGGATCCCATTGTGTGCTACTGCGTTCACAAACACCGGCAAAAAATAAAATAAAAAATTACCCTAAAAACCCATCGCCAGATCCCCCTGCTTTTGTCGCATCACACGAAGCGCCCTCGCTAGCCCAATGCGTCGAGAATGACGCCACACACCCCCACCACCAACCCCCCCTCCCCCCGCGTCAACTGAGCGTACCGAAACTCCAGCCAAATTCTGGCAGAAACCAGAGGGCCCTTGAAGATGCGGCAGTGGCCAGTGGCTGGGGAAGCCGCCCCCGTCAATTTTCGCATTTTCTGGCCCTATAGAATGCCAGTTTTGGCGTTGTTCGTGATGAAGTTCGTCAACCCCTCTGTATCCTTGGTACCCCCGTTACCCCTATATCCAAAAATAAGAATTGTGGGTGACAAATGAAGATTGAATTTCAGTAGAATATTGCGTGGCAGCTTATAGAGCGAGCCCACGAGCTGATATGAGTTAAGTGATGACGTCACCCTGCTGCTCTATATAAAACCGGGAGCAAGCGAGGGCTTTACCATTCTGGCGAATTGCCCGATGATGCTGGATGTATTTACCAGCGAAACGTCACAGTACAACTCAAACTGTAAATGTTGTAGAGATTCACTCTTCAACACACCGGTGGGCTAAAGTAGTGAATGATTTGTCTTTTTGTCAACGTGACACTTTTTTTGCTGATTGGCCGTGTCGGGTGGTGGAGGGTTACGACACATTTATAAATAAACGCGATCTAACCCAAAAACCTTTATTACGAGCCCAGGCTTTTGCAGCGTACGCATCGATGCGCCGCTGTTTCGAGCTCACCGCAGAATCCCCATTCCGGATTTGTGTCCGTGAAAAGTTGCCGGGGAACGTGCCCGTGGTCGCTAGTCCCATGGGGCATGGGCTCCAGCTCAGATCGCCGTGGCGCTTGTACGATGGATTCGAGTGAAACAGCTCTCAGTGAGGCCTCAAGCGATCACCTGCAGGGCATCGTGCCCCCGTCCAAGCGTAGGCCTTGCGTGACGTTATGATTTGCTGGTGGTGGAAATCGACCATTTGGGCGTACAGCTTGTTCCGGTCTACACCTGAGAAGCATTCCTCCTCCTCCTGGCGATTCCCTGCGGTTTTCCCCCCGCGCTGCTGTGAGGAAGACAGGCGAGTGCGCTCCCTTTTGCTGGGACGACATTCAGTTTTGGGTGGCACTGGGCCACCGCCGGCTGACTCCGCACCAACACTCACAGCAGGCGCGCTCCCCGCCGCTGCTGCTGTTGAGAAGGACCTTCGTACCTCATTTCACGAGTTTTGCGGCGAGTCTCGCCGAGTTATCTCGGCAGGGAGAAGCCACTGCCCCTCCCGTGCCTGGTCTCACCACATCGCCCACCCTCGTGAGTCGTGCGTCCACCACGCGTTTTGTCCATGGCAGGGCCCGCAAGAGAGAGGGTAGTGCCGTGTTGGGGCTCCATAGCAGCGGCTCGTGAGCGAGTTCTGATGCTGACCGGGGTGTATTCAGTGGCGGCGGTGACAAGGAGACCCCAGGTATGTAGGATACTCCCGTAGAAGCGGGGAATCTGCGCGAGTGGAATACCTCTAATGTCCATGAAGAAGAGCTGCCTACTGCAATGAAGGCCCCCTGAGGTTATTCAGATCAGCATTATCATCACCACCATCATCAGCATCATCAGCATTATGATCACCACCACCACAACCATCATCATCAGCATCATCATCAACATTATCATCACCATCAACAACCGCCATTCGCCACAAAGTGGCGGTGACGTCACCACGACGATTGTGCCAGGCTATGTGCACCTTGAGGGCACGTGAAGTGTCGAACGCCCGCTGGCAGGAGGTCAAGGGGCAGACCCAAGTGCCACGGGTCGACTGACTGAGATGACTGGCTGATGCACCACCTGTGCCCCCTACTGTGCCAACCTGCTGTGCTTTAGCCACCCGGCGCTCCGCTCGTTGTTGTGAGTGTCGCTCCTCCGCCCTCTGTTGTTGTTGGAGGGCGACTGCCTCCCACTGCCCAGTAGCGTCCTTCATGAGCCTCCTCCACAGAGGGCGATCTTGACACCGCTGGTACCGGTCATCGGCAAGTCCTCCTGTACCACGTCACTCCATCTCTTTTCTAGCCCTTGCCATGCCCATTTAGCCCCCTCTATCCGGCTGAACAAAAGCTGGTAAGGCATGCAGTGACTAGGCATGCGGGCTACATGACCCAGCCAAAGCAGCCTTGCCTGCCGGAGGAGCTCACCGAAGGGACTTTGCGCAGATCTTTCCAGGATTTGTGAGCTCCTCACACAATCCAGCCTGGTTTAACCCCAGGAAGGATCATAGGCAGGCCAGCCTAAATGTTTTTAACGGGCGAAGATGCTCCATTAGGGGGGTCCATGTTTCGTAAGCGTAGAGAAGGGATGGAATGACCGTGGCCGAGAAAACTTGAAGCTTCGTGCGGAGCGATAGACCAGGTAGCTTCCACACAGCGTTATGCAACCGAAGAAAAGATAATGCCGCTCGACTGATTCGGAGTGAGACTTCTGCTGTCAAACCGGAGCCAGTCATGAGCACACTGCCCAGGTATGGTAAACTCCTTCACTCTCTCCACAACTGCCCGATCACCGATTGGGAGTTGTGGGGGTGGAGTGTCCGATGGTACAAAATACCCAAGCAGGTGCTTAGTTTTGGTGGGGCTGATGGTAAGGCCCCATCTCTTAATGACAAGCTCCAGGTTCAGCAGCAGCGCCTCCAACTCCTCCTCTGAGTGAGCGGCAATTACCAGATCATCAGCATACGAAACCTGTTGACCAATAGGCAGCCATCCCTTGACCGCACCTGGGCATCGATAATCCTCCCATTGTATCTGAACTAGAGGGAAATTCCTCTGGTACAGTCATGAAAGGCTTCACGGACTACGTGGTCGAAAAATACGTTAAGTAATGTGGGAGCCAGAGCACATCCCTGTCGCACCCCAAGGTGAACAGGGAATGACTCCGACTCCCGGCCACGTAGTTTTAACCGGGCCCGCTCACCATCATGAAGGTCCTTAATGATCGTGAGCAGAGGGTCAGGGACTCCGAAAGCACGACGAACAACCCACAGCCCAGGCCTACTGATGGTATCAAAGGCCTTGACCAGGTCAATAAAGCAGAAATGTAGGTCTTGTTGGAATTCCCTAAACCTCGGCTGTAGCAAACGAACAGAAAATATGGCATCTGTGCAGGACCGCCCTTTCCTGAAACCGCATTGGGGCTCCGCAAGCCTCTCCTCAGCGTGCCTGGCAAGGCGATGCTGAATAATCCTTGCCAGGACCTTTCCCGGCACACTGAGGAGTGAGATGCCCCTGTAGTTGTTACAGTCTGTGCGGTCCCCCCTTCTTAAAGAGGGGGACCACCAGGGCATCCTTCCAATCCTGCGGAACCCGTCCAGTGGTCCAGACCGTTGTTATGATGTCATATAGGGCAGTGTGTGCACAAACGCCACCCTCCCTCAGCATTTCGCTTGGGAGATAATCTCTGCCCGCTGCCTTTCCTGGTCTCAAACTCCGGATCGCCTTCAGTACTTCCTCAACAGATGGCACCTCAGCCAGCCACTCACAGGGGGTGACTTCTTCCAATATTTGAGGCACCGCAGCCTCAGCAGGGTCATCCTCACCTTGTGCCACGATGTTTACCTGGCTGAGGGATTTTCCCTTCCCCAGGACTTCACAGAAATGCTCAGCAAATCTGCAAACCTGTTCCTGGGGGTCAGAGATTGGATCACCGTTTTTTCCCCTAATGATGGTAAGTGGTGTGGCGCTGCAGGTTACTTTTTTGATGGAGTTAAATAGATATTTTTGATCGCGGGCCATTGAGGCAGACTCCATCTCCTCAGCAACCCGCGACCACCACCCATCCTTGCAGCACCTCACAGCTCTCCGAACCTCCGAGCGAAGGCTGCGGTAAGCCTCCTCAATCTCCGACGTGGGATGCTTTAGCCGATGACAGTGGGCCTGTTGCTTTATCTCAAGCATCCTGAACACCTCCTCTGTCAGCAAGGGCCTCTGGGGAGGTCTGGACCGCGTACCCAAAGCAGCCATTGCAACTGCATGAGTCACAGTCCTAAACCTTGCCCATTTACCCTCGACATCAGGAGGAGTGGGGGACGATGCCAACCCCAGCCGCAAGAGATGATGAAATTCTCGCTTGCAATTTTCATCAGATAACTGAAACCAGGCCACTTTAGTTGGAATGGGGTCCTGGGTGTACACCTACCACCGGAGTGGAAGAATGGCAGTCGCATCTTATAGATGACAAGTCGATGGTCAGAGGGCAGATCAGCTCCACGGTAGGTCCTGGTGTCAAGGACATGGGCTCACATCCACTGGTCTTTCACTAGGTAGTCCAGCAGATGTTCTTGCTTGGACCCGGCATGAGCGAACGAGTGAGTGAGTGGGTGGGTGAGTGAGTGGGTGAGTGAGTGGGTGGGAGAGTGGGTGGGTGGGTGAGTGAGTGAGTGAGTGGGTGAGTGAGTGAGTGGGTGGGTGGGTGGGTGGGTGGGTGAGTGAGTGAGTGGGTGGGTGGGTGAGTGGGTGAGTAGGTGGGTGAGTGAATGAGTGGGTGAGTGGGTCGGTGAGTGAGTGGGTGAGTGAGTGAGTGAGTGGGTGGGTGAGTGGGTGAGTGGGTGGGTGAGTGAGTTGGTGGGTGAGTGAGTGAATGGGTGGGTGAGTGGATGAGTTGGTGAGTGGGTTGGTGAGTGAGTGAGTGAGTAAATGAGTGGATGAGTGAGTGGGCGAGTGAGTGGGTGGGTGAGTGAGTGAGTGGGTGGGTGGATGAGTGGGTGGGTTAGTGAATGAGTGGGTGGGTGAGTGGGTGAGTGGGTGGGTGAGTGGGTGAGTGGGTGGGTGAGTGGGTGGGTGAGTGGGTGAGTGGGTGGGTGAGTGGGTGAGTAGGTGGGTGAGTGGGTGGGTGAGCGAGTGACCTGAACTGCGAGCATTCCATCTTCATCCGGCATTATCCTGTAGCTGTGAACCACGTTCTGATGCCTAAAGACACGAAGAATAGACACACACACAGAATACACACACAGAATACACGCATACACACACAGAAAACACACACAGAATACACATACACAGAATACACACACACAGAATACACACACACAGAATAGACACACACAGAATACACATACACACAGAACACACACACAGAATATACACACACACAGAATATACACACACAGAATATACACACACAGAATACACACACAGAATACGCACGTATACAGAATACACACACAATAGACAAACAGAATACACACACATACAGAATACACACATACAGAATACACACACAATACACACACACAGAATACACGCACATACAGAATACAGACACAATGTACACACATAATACACACACACAGAATACACACACATAAAGAATACACACACACCACACACACACACAGATTACACACACAGCATACACATACACAGAATACACACACATACATAATATACACACACAGAGCACACACATATAGAATACACACACATAATACACACAGAACACACACACATAATACACACACACAGAATACACACATACAGAATACACACACAATACACACACACAGAATACACGCACATACAGAATACAGACACAATGTACACACATAATACACACACATAATACACACACATGAAGAATACACACACACCACACACACACAGATTACACACACAGCATACACATACACAGAATACACACACATACAGAATACACACACATACATAATATACACACACACAGAGCACACACATACAGAATACACACACATAATACACACACACAGAACACACACACATTATACACACACACAGAATACACACATACCGAATACACACACAATACACACACATACAGAATACACGCACATACAGAATACAGACACAATGTACACACAGAATACACACACACACAGAATATACACACAGAATACACATACACAGAATATACACACACACAGAATACACGCACATACAGAATACAGACACAATGTACACACAGAATACACACACATACACAGAATACACACACACACAGATTACACACACAGAATACACATACACAGAATACACACACATACAGAATACACACACATACATAATACACACGCACACACACACAAAACACACACATACAGAATACACACACATAATACACACACACAGAACACACACACATAATACACACACAGAATACACACATACAGAATACACACATACAAAATACACACACACACAATACACACACAAAGGCAAAGCTCCCCCTGTGTAGCCTTAACAGGGAGTGTGATGGAACAGATGGAGATTAGTCCACACACGGGGTAGAAGGGAGTGAGATGGAACAGATGGAGATTAGTCCACCCACGGGGTAGAAGGGAGTGAGATGGAACAGATGGAGATTAGTCCACCCACGGGGTAGGAGGGAGTGAGATGGAACAGATGGAGATTAGTCCACACACGTGGTAGAAGGGCGTGAGATGGAACAGATGGAGATTAGTCCACACACGTGGTAGAAGGGCGTGAGATGGAACAGATGGAGATTAGTCCACACACGTGGTAGAAGGGCGTGAGATGGAACAGATGGAGATTAGTCCACACACGTGGTAGGAGGGGAGCGAGAAGGAACAGATGGAGATTAGTCCACACACGTGGTAGAAGGGGAGCGAGAAGGAACAGATGGAGATTAGTCCACACACGGGGTAGAAGGGGAGCGAGATGGAACAGATGGAGATCAGTCCACACACGGGGTAGAAGGGGAGTGAGATGGAACAGATGGAGATTAGTCCACACACGTGGTAGAAGGGGAGCAAGAAGGAACAGATGGAGATTAGTCCACGCACAGGAAGAAGGGAGTGAGATGGAACAGATGGCGATTAGTCACACACGGGGTAGAAGGGAGTGAGATGGAACAGATGGAGATTAGTCCACACACGGGGTAGAAGGGGAGTGAGATGGAACAGATGGAGATTAGTCCACACACGTGGTCGAAGGGGAGCGAGAAGGAACAGATGGAGATTAGTCCACACACGTGGTCGAAGGCGAGCGAGAAGGAACAGATGGAGATTAGTCCACACACTTGGTAGAAGGGGAGCGAGAAGGAACAGATGGAGATTAGTCCACACACGTGGTAGGAGGGGAGTGAGATGGAACAGATGGAGATTAGTCCACCCACGTGGTAGAAGGGGAGCGAGATGGAACAGATGGAGATTAGTCCACACACGTGGTAGGAGGGGAGTGAGATGGAACAGATGGAGATTAGTCCACACACGTGGTAGAAGGGGAGTGAGATGGAACAGATGGAGATTAGTCCACCCACGTGGTAGAAGGGGAGCGAGAAGGAACAGATGGAGATTAGTCCACACACGGGGTAGAAGGGGAGCGAGATGGAACAGATGGAGATCAGTCCACACACGTGGTAGAAGGGGAGCGAGATGGAACAGATGGAGATTAGTCCACACACGTGCTAGAAGGCGAGCGAGTTGGAACAGATGGAGATTAGTCCACACACGTGCTAGAAGGCGAGCGAGTTGGAACAGATGGAGATTAGTCCACCCACGTGCTAGAAGGCGAGCGAGTTGGAACAGATGGAGATCAGTCCACCCACGTGCTAGAAGGCGAGCGAGATGGAACAGATGGAGATTAGTCCACCCACGTGCTAGAAGGCGAGCGAGATGGAACAGATGGAGATTAGTCCACACACGTGCTAGAAGGCGAGCGAGTTGGAACAGATGGAGATTAGTCCACACACGTGCTAGAAGGCGAGCGAGTTGGAACAGATGGAGATCAGTCCACCCACGTGCTAGAAGGCGAGCGAGATGGAACAGATGGAGATCAGTCCACCCACGTGCTAGAAGGCGAGCGAGTTGGAACAGATGGAGATCAGTCCACCCACGTGCTAGAAGGCGAGCGAGTTGGAACAGATGGAGATCAGTCCACACACGTGCTAGAAGGCGAGCGAGATGGAACAGATGGAGATTAGACCACACCCGTGGTGTCAGTGTCGGCACGTACAGCACGCAGAGTCCGTAGACGCCCGGGATGCTCTCGCTGTTCCGCACGAGGAAGCAGCCGTCCTGGCCGTCCTGCAGCAGCAGCTGCTCGGCCTTGACACGCGTGAGGTCCTGGTGGTACCACGGCATGCTGACGCCGCCGCCGCTGACGCCGCCGCCGCCGCCGCCGCCGCCGCCGCCGCTCATCCTGTGGAACAGACAGTGGGCACGCAGCTTGATGATCAGCGCCCGCACTGCCAACGCCACTACCGCCACCACCGCCGCCACCGCCGCTACCGCCACTACCACCGCCAGTACCTCCACCACCTCCTCCACCGCCACCACCGCCGCCACCACCATTACCACCACCACCACTACCGCCACTACCACCACTACCACCGCCACTACCTCCACCACCACTACCACCACTACCGCCACTACCGCCACTACCACCCCCAGTACCTCCACCACCACCACCACCGCCA